TTCACAAGTGAATATGAGGTAACTAGTTAACGAAGAACACAAGTTAGGAGGTGTGGAGTGCACAATCTTGTAAGCTAACTAGAACTGATGATCACTGGATTGTGCCTTATGGCGGGTTCAAGGGGCAGCCCCCTCTTTAACATATTTTTGTTTACAAGTAGTCCTAAATGTTTGGTTCTTGAACTACAGGTTTGTTGTTGAAAATCTCTAGATCCTAAGCAAGTATACTGGACATGTTATTGAGAGTTTTGTAACCATTGCTGATTGGAAAGAAGATAAGAGACCATCAAGTCTTATGGAAGTGAGAAGAATGAATATGAATATGAAAATGAACCCTCAGGAAACCGGTGGTGCTACAATGGTGGTACAACAGGGGCGGCATACGGCAGCAGAGCATGGTGACCGATCATCATTGAATAACAACAATTTCGGAGCAAGAAGGATGATGACGGTATCCAAACCGAAGAGCAGGAGCAGCTATTTCAGCATTGAATCAATGGTGCTGCTGGTTGGACTGGCGGCATCGTTGCTGATACTTCCGTTGATACTGCCGCCACTCCCACCGCCACCGCTCATGTTGCTGCTGCTTCCGATCTTCATTTTCGGCGTCCTCATGGTCTCCGCCTTCTTGCCATCCTTTTCGAATTCGTCTACTGCTCGTCAGAAAGCAAACGTCTAGTTGCGTTTTGTTTTTTGTGGTTAAATTCTTTGTTATTTGTTGTGGAAACATTATGACGTTTGTTAGTTTGAAGAGATGTAAAGAAGGCTGTGAATGCTTTTAGTTAATTACAAAAAATTGTCCATCAAATACTATAAGATTGTTTTGTATGTTGGATATGTAATCTGGTCGTTCATACTTCTAAAATTATTATAAAAAATGGATCAAATTTTATACAGGTGGACAACTTTATTTGAGAATCATAAAATTATGATAACCTTTGAGAACCAGTATATCATGTGATATTTTACATGATTATTTTTCCATTTACGACTAGGATTTAATATATTGATTAATATTTATTTCACAATGGCAACTTTTTTTTTATCTGTTTGTGAAATAAAAAATACAACTAAAATGTTTTACAATGTGAACCGAATAAATATAAAACAAACATGTCATGAAATAAATATATGTTAATTAATATATTAAATTCTAATTTTAGATAAAAAAAATCATGTAAAACAATACCTTATGATAATAGTTCTAGTAACTATCACTAGGGGTGTTCATGGGTTGGGTTAGGATATTTGAACAACCCAACCCATTGCTTGCTGTTTGGAAAAATCTTAACCCAACCCAACCCAACCCAAACCAAAGTGCAACCCAAACCAAAGTGCAACCCAACCCAACCCGTACGAGTTGGTCGGATTGGTCGGGTTGATACTTTGGAATATTAAAATATTCTTCTAACCTTGAATATGTTATTTCTCTACCCATAATTTCTTTTTCATCATCAACCATTTGATACAACTTATTCATATTTCTTACGTATATCACATTCAGTTAATTTTCTCAATTTACATATATATGTTCACAGTTACTGAATGAGTTATATGAAGATATGAATAGATTGAAAATATGTGTATATGAAAAGCATACATGATAGTGTAATTGTCTAATGTATATATTAATAGAAATTCAACAATCATATTAAATCCAAGAAATAAAAGGATATCGGGTTCATTGGGTTGGGTTGGGTTCAAATAATAGTAACCTCAATATCAACCCAATACCTACGGCTTGGCAAATTTACAACTCGATTAGACATCGGGTTGGGTTATTTCGCATTGGGTTGGGTTGGGTTGATCGGGTTGGTCGGGTTTTTGAGCACCCCTAACTATCACAATATATGAGGTTTTCAAGTGATTAAGCCTCATCTATCGTAAACAGTTTAGATTGTTGTTACTGATCGGAAATTAGAGTAAATTAGGTTTTTCGTCCTTGTAACTTGTTAAAAATTGCAATTTTTATTCTTGTGGTTCTCAAATTACTATTTTTGTTCATGTGATTTACAATTCATTACTATCTCCGTCTCTGAGACTAACTCTTACTTTTAAGTATGAGAACAAAACAACAATGAATTGTAAACCATAAGAATTATAACAATAAATTTTAAATTATAAAAACAAAAACAATAATAAATCGTACAACATATCCCTTTCAAAAACATAGTTAAGATTATTGTTTCTTCTTCCACTACAAACATATTATAAAAATTGTAATTTAAACGTTTATATAATAATTAAAAAATCACTAGAAGGGTACTCGTGCAATGCATCAAAACACATCTTGATTTCAGTGTTTTATTTTATTTCTTTTTTATATCGATATAATACAATTTTATGTGGTTTTAAGAAAATGATAATGTTTTTATTTTTGAATAAAATATAAATTTAAAAATATAATAAAATTTTGAAAAAAAAATAATATCAATATCAAATTAATCTTTTTAAAAGTTCTTGTGTTTTGGTGTAAT